TCGTCAACCAGCCCGATGGACCAGGCCACCGGCGGACACGCTGAAGCTCAACTGTGACGCTTCCTTCTTCCCTGAGTCCAGCGCCGGTCCTGAGTTTTTCTTGGCCTAGATCGATAACTAATATAGAGGCCTATAGTCAAGGTTTTCATTTTCGGAAATTATAATTTATCGGGGGTCACAGATAAAGAGGATAAACAGGATATATCGGAAATATTAGACCAAATTCAAATAAAATTTAATTTGAATTTAAGTAAATTTAAATAAATTTAAACAAAATTTGTACGAAAAATATAGATATTTTCTTATCGGCATCTACGGATAAAAAGGATATATCGAAAATATCAGGAGATTTCAGCCGAAAAAGGAAACCATGCCTATAGTCCACTTTCTAAAAATATTTCTCTCTCTCTCTCTCTCTCTATATATATAGTCTCACAAATACACATCAATTTAGATAATAATATTCGATGCACTAAAAAACTTATATAGAACATCTCAAAGTTCATAAAATGGACAGATGTAATATTAAATTACTTACTTGGCACTTGACATTATCTTAAACAATTTCTTCTAACATTTTGAGATGCAAAATCATTGATTATAGTATTGATATCGATCTCATCCAATAACTTCTTCTCGATGCATAAAGTCGCCAAACCATTTAACAGTTCTTGAGACATTGTTGACCTCAAATAGTTCTTCAATAATTTAACTTTGAAAAGCTTCTTTCAGCTGATGCGACAGGCACAAGAATGGTAAATAAGATCCCATAAGCAATGGAAATATTTGGATAACAATCCACCTCTCTGACATGCTCGAAAATCTCCATAGCAGACAATGCACCTTCTGGCAAAGTGAATTTCAAAATCTTCAATTCAGAAATAAGATCATGTACCTCAACATCAGATGATCCATCAACCGATTTTTTTTTGGCAAATTTAGTGCAGCACTCTTCAAGTTGAATATCATCTAATGACTTTAGGGTGCTTGAGCTCATTAAGAAACCAAATATATCTTTAAACTCCATGAGTTCTTCAAATCTATTCTTTAAAGAAGTTCTTACCATATCAACCATAGCAAGAAAATATTTGACTTCAAAAGCCTTCTCAGGTTCTAGAATTTCTTCTTGGCAATTACTTTCGTCAAATTGTTTCTTTCTCGTAGCACGACGTTTTACTGGAAATGATGCCTCTACACCCATGTCAGATGCAATGCCTTTGGCGATAATCAGACTAGAAGAAAACCCCTCATTTTTGTATGTCTCAAAGTATTGCATCATACCTTGTATTTGTTGCAATGTAGAGTCAATGCACATGTCTGGCGACTGCAACTTCTTGCTTACTTTATTCATGGCAAATAAAATATCATTCCAGATAACCATACCAAGTATAAACTCAAAGTTGCCAAGGGCATCAAATAAATTTTTTGCATCAATTTTATCCTTAGGTTCAATATCAGGAGAATGACGTAACTCAGATAAATGACCTTTGTTAGAAGGAATGAAGCTCACTCTATTCCTGGGGCAACAGCCCAAACATGTACATGAGTTGGGCATATATGCATCTAAGCCCTTATACAAAGAGGAAAATATGCTATACACCATATATATCTAACACCCCCTCAAACTCAGGGTGAATCACAAACACTGAGTTTGGAGAGAAAGAAACGATGTTGAACTCGCGTCTGCGACTTGGTGAAGAAATCAGCCACCTAGAGCTCGGAGGGCACATAGTGAAGAGCAATGACATCATCCTGCACCTGAGCCCGAGTGTAATATGCATCAACTCCAATATGCTTGGTGAGCTCATGCTTCACAGGATCACGAGCTATATTGATAGCACTGGTACTGTCAGACATAAGAGGAGTGGGCATAGAAACTGAAACACCGAAATCCTCAAGTAACCATCGAAGCCAAGTAACCTCTGCTGTCGCAAGAGCTATAGCTCGCAACTCAGCCTCTGCACTCGAACGAGAGACTGCGGTCTGCTTCTTTGTCTTCCAAGCAATGAGAGAGCCACCAAGAAAAATACAATAGGCAGAAAGAGAGTGACGATCAGAGTCACTAGCCCAAGTAGCATCAGAGTAGGCTTGGAGTTGAAAAGAGCTAGAACGCGGGAAGAACAGACGACGAGTAATGGTCCCACGAAGATAACGCAAGACACGAAGGAGATGGCTATAATGGACATGAGTGGGAGAAGAAACAAATTGACTAAGAATGTGCACAGCATATGAGATATCAGGACAGGTCACAGCTAGATAGACAAGACTCCCAACAATATGACGATACCGAGTGGGATCGGTGAGAGGTTTACCATCAGTAGCACAGAGCTGAAGATTAAGCTCGATGGGAGTCTCAACAGTACGATGATCAGTGAGGCAAGAGCGAGCAAGAAGATCCTGATTGTATTTTTCTTGGGATAAGTAAATGCCATCAGAGGTGGAAGAGACCTCAATCCCAAGGAAATAACGAAGAGGACCAAGATCAGACATAAGAAACTGCTCGCTGAGGCGTGCCTTGACAAAGGCAATATACTCAGAATCATCACCAGTGATAATCATATCATCAACATAAAGAAGAAGAAGAGTGCGACCATGAGGGGATGTGTGAATAAACAAGGCAGGGTCATGATTGCTTGGAGAAAAACCAGCAGCAATGATCACAGAGGCAAAGCGCTGAAACCAAGCACGAGGAGCTTGTTTCAGACCATAAAGAGAGCAACGAAGACGACAAACCATGCCCTCAGGAACAAGATACCCAGGAGGTGGTCGCATGTAGACCTCCTCACGGAGTTCACCATTAAGGAAGGCATTTTTGACATCAAGTTGAGAAATGGACCAAGCACGAACAGAGGCCACAGCAAGGAGAGTGCGAACAGTGGTCATGTGAGCCACAGGAGCAAATGTCTCATCATAATCACGACCATACTCTTGCTGAAAACCACGAGCAACAAGACGAGCCTTATAACGCTCGAGAGAGCCATCAGAGCGAGTCTTGATCTTATAAACCCACTTGCACGTGATGGGACGAGCATGAGAAGGAAGAGGGACAAGGTCCCAAGTGCCAGTGCGCTCAAGAGCAGCAATCTCCTCAGCCATGGCTAGTTGCCATTCAGGATGACAAATGGCATCATGGTATGTGGCCGGCTCAGAAAAGACAGTGCCAGCAAAACCATACCTATCAAGAGGCTTCAGCGAGCTACGATCGCGAAGATTATAATGAGAGGAGGGCTGAGATAAAGAATCGTCAAGCGAAGATGGCTCAGCAGGAGAGGAGACATCAGAAGGCAACTCAACAGGAGGCGAGGAATCCAGGAGCCGACGACTGTAGGTGTGAATCACGGGAGGTTTGGAATCATAAATGGACCGAGGAGCATGTGAAGACGACTCAGAGGGCAGCGGAGGAGAAGGTGGAGGAGGTGAAGATGGTTTAGGAGGTGGAGATGGTGACGGAGGAAGAAGCACAGTGGAGATAGGTGTATCAGGAAAATTCAAGAAGGACAGAGGCTCAACAACGGCCTAAGGAGAAACATCAGAGGAGGGCCGAGGATAGAAGGAATGAGACTCATCAAAAGTAACATCCCGAGAGATCCGCATACGATGAGCAGTCAAGTCCCAACAGCGATAGCCCTTGTGCTCAGCACTATAGCCTAAGAAAACACACTCAACAGATTGATGTGTGAGTTTAGTGCGTTCACGAGGAGCAAGAAGAACATAGCACAAACATCCAAAAATGCGAAGACTAGAGTAATCAGGTGGATGTCCAAAAAGGCGCTCATATGGGATGCCACCTTTAAGAGCAGATGAGGGTTGAATGTTGGTTAAATAGCTGGTAGTGGAGATTGCTTCAGCCCAGAAATGAGGTGGGACCGAGGAAGCAATCATAAGAGCACGAGCAGTTTCAAGAAGGTGACGATGTTTACGCTCAGCAACACCATTCTGAGCGTGCGCACCAGGACAAGAAAATTGTGAGAGAGTCCCTTGCTCAGAAAGAAATTGGTGAAGAGCACCCAAAAGATATTCCCCGACAGAGTCAGCCCAAAAAACACGAATAGGAGCATCAAAATGAGTGTGAATCATCCAAGCAAAAGTTTTATATATGGATAACACCTCATTACGATGTTTCATGAAATACACCCATGTGAAGCTAGAGAAATCATCGATAAATATGACATAATATTGATGACCCCCTTTTGAAACAAAAGGTGCAGGACCCCATACATCTGAATGAACAAGATCAAAAGGACGCTGTGACACAGACCCACTAGAGGGATATGGAAGCTGGATCTGTTTGCCAAGCTTACAGCCCTGACACTGATCTAAAGAAACATCACCTGAGACATTTCCTAGAACACCACGATGGACAAGAGCGGATAAGCGGGAACCACATAGATGTCCCAGGCGATGATGCCGCTGAGCAAAAGAGGAAGAAGCCGATGCAGGAGAAGCAGAGCTCACAAGACCGATAGAGGCAGCGGAAGGAAGACGAAGCCAATCGAGTTCCCAGAGATGCGGAGAATCACGGCGGCGAGGGCCAGTACCAACTAGGAGACCCGTGCTGAGATCCTATACACGGCAAGTGTCAGAATCAAAAATAACACGACAACCATGATCAGTGAGCTGACCAGTAGAAATAAGTTGCATGGTCAAATCAGGAACATAAGAAACATTAGGAACATGAAATGAAGAAGAAGAAAGAGTGCCCCGACCAACAACCGAAAGAGATGAGCCATCAGCAGTTTGAACAGTGAGAGGAATGGAAGGAGAGCAAATAGAAGAAAGAGAGGTACTATCAGGTGTCATATGAAAAGAAGCACCAGAATCAAGAATCCATGGTAAGATACCTGAAGTGGATGGTGGTCTCTCAATAAAAGACTGAGAAGTAGCAGCAGAGAGTACTGGGGCAGGAGTGACAGAACCAGCAGCTCCAGTAGTGACAGAACCAGAGGCTCCAGTAGGTGGAGGAATAGGTGGAGGAACAGCAAGACGATGAAGTAACATGATTATCTCCTGCTGTGCATCAGGATGCTGAGACTGAGCATGTGAGGAACGCCCACCTCGGCGAGACTAAGACTGAGCCTGCCTCTTCTTCTTGTAACAATGATCCTCATCATGTCCATCTCTGCCACAGTGCTTACAATGAAGGCCACCTGAGTTGCGAGTCCCCGAGCCACCAGAGGCTGCTGAAGTAGGCACTGTGGGAGGAGAACCAAGAATTCTAGACCGAGCAGCCAGGACTGAGGAGGAAGTAGACCAGCAGAACGAAGGCGAGTCTCCTCATTACGAATAGCAGCAAGAGCCTCCATCAAAGACACGCACGGCTCATGAGCAAGTAATTGAGCACGAAGGGGCTCAAACTCATCACGCAGACGAGTTAGGAAGTCATAGGTGCGACGAAGCTCGAGGTGGCTCTGTTGCTTCCTGCAGGAGTCACAAGTGTCTGGGGACAACTGGGGACTAAGAGTGTCAAGCTCACGCCATATTGCAGATAGCTGTCGAAAGAAATCCTCAACTGAATTGTCACCCTGCTGCAACAGTTGTTCTTGACGTAGGGCGGCAATATAAGTGGACTGACCAGAGGGCTCATAGCGCTGACGAAGAATAGCCCACATCTGAGCAGCATGATCAAGCCGAATAACCTCTCCTGCCAGATGCTTTTCCATACTAGCAACAAGAACAGCCCCAGCACGAGCATCTTCATCCAACCAAGTCCGATAAGCCCGAAAATGAGACATGTAAGAGGCCATATCATCATCATAAGCTTCGCGCAACTTCTTTTGTTCCTCTTCAGAATTTTCTGGAGGAATCACCGGCTGCACTGGACGATCAGGCAATGCTGGACAAGGTAGCTCACCACTAAGAAACTCCCAGAGTCGGAGACCACGCATATGCCACCGCATATGTGGAACCCGATCATGATAATTGGTGCCATCGAAAATCTTTGGACAACGTGGATTTGCGCGCCCTCGAGGGAGGAACAGGAGGAGATGCCATCTTTCTTTCTCCGTAAAAGCGTAAAAAAACAACAAAGCGGCGAAGCGACAGGTGAGAGCAGAAAGCGAAGAGAGGTGGATTTAGTAGAGCAGAAGCGAGCGAAGGAGGCGAGGCGAAGCCGACGCGGATGCCGGTGGCTGAGTAGCGCTGGTGGTTCCCGGAGAGCGTGCGGGACGTGGATGGGCTCGTCCACGCCCCAGCGAGAAGAGCGCTGGTCCTCCACGCAGAAGATGAACGCCGCTTTCTCTGGTAGGCGTCGCGCGCTGGAGCTCGCGGAGAGCGCCTCGAGTGGGAGGCAACCTTTGGTGCTTGCCGGGCGAAGCTTGTTGGCGGCGTGGATCTTGATGTGTCGGTAGCAGCGCCACAGCAGCAGCTTTGTTGTTGGCTGCGTAGCACACCACCATGGTAGCCGCGCCACGCGCGCGTGTTGAAAGCAGAGCAAAGGCTGAAGCGAAGCAGCGAGAGGATGCGAGATTGGCGTGAGCTGCACGGGAGATGAGCGCGCAGGAGGAGAATCAAGCGCGCGCGCGGAAAGAGCGGAGCAAGGGCGCGCGCGGGAACAGAGGAAGTTCGATGGCGGGGCCGCGCCGGCCGCAGAAGGCGCATGATGGCGGGACCGCACCCGGCCGCGGAGAGTGCGCCACGGCGGGGCCACGCCCAGCTACGGAGCGTGCAACGGGAAGAGCACGCGAGGGAGAGAGCCGACGGGCGACGGAGCTCCAGGCAAGCGCAACGGGAAGAGCGCGCGAGGGAGCGAGGTAAAACCTAGACCCTAGGCTCTGGTACCATGTTAGAAGGAATAAAGCTCACTCTATTCCTAGGGGAAACAGCCCAAACATGTACATAAGTTGGGCATATATGCATCTAAGCCCTTATACAAAGAGGAAAATATGCTATACACCATATATATCTAACAACCTTAACTCAGTAGCTTGATATCTTATTGCTGAAACACTTTTGATTCGACTCTCCCAACAAGTATTGGACAATGATTTCACAGTTAAACTAGGAACATGTTTAAGCAAGATATTCCACCTTTTTGTAGAACCAGCAAATAGCACATATATGCATTGAACAATTCCAAAAAATGAAACAGATTTACCACATGATTTTGCCATATCACATAGAGTAAGATTGAGACTATGACAAGCACATGGCATATATAATGCTCTTGGATTGATATCAATTAACCTTGTTTTCCTTTCACGTTAGAACCATTGTCATAGCCTTGACCCCTTATATCATTAATATTAAGGCCGAAGGAGTTCATAGCCTCAACCAATACATTAAAAAGCCCCAAACCAGATGTGTCATCCACCTTCAAGAACCTCAAAAAATATTCCTCAATTTTTATTTGGGCATCAGACAAATTAACACATCGAACTAACAAAGTCATTTGTTCTTGATGACTCACATCGGGGGGTGCAATCAAGAATAATGGAAAAATACTTGGCCTCTTTAACAACCTTTATGATAGAGTTTGTGATATCAGCAACCAAAAGAGAAATCAACTCATTCTGAATTTTATGACTAAGATAATGATAATGAATTTCTTTGTCCCGAATACGTCTGAGGTGGTCTTGCATTACGAAGTCAAATTCTGCTATCATCTCGGCACAAGCTAAGAAATTGCCATTATTATCATTGTAAAGTTGCTCACTGCTTCCTCTAAAAGCCAAGTTGTGTTTGCCAAGAAATTTCACAATTGCAACTATTCTTAATAAAACTAGCCTCAAACATTCTTTCTCCTTTGTGATTTGCTGCTGTAATTCTTTGTCAATTGTTTGCTTTTTCCACAGTCTAGCTCTCAATTCGTTCCAACTATTCATATTACTAATATGCTCGGCACTATTTTCATGGTCTTTAAGCTTCAAACTAATACGCCTCCAATCTCTATACCCATCATTTGCTAAGGCACTCGGATTCTTGCTAGTGCTAGACTTGAAGATCTTACAGCAGAAACAAAATACTTTGTCAACATTCTTTGAATAAACTAACCATTTTCTATCATGTAACTCTCCGTTGCTTAGTTTTCTAGAATAATGGGCATATGAAAAATATCTTGAGGCAGCATCATGAGGGAATTTGATGTTCTCTTCTCTTATAGGCCCTTTCTCCGTTAATATATCTCGTGCTTTATTATCAAGTTTATCCCAATTTCTTGGATCATAAATATCCAAAGTGTAAACCGGTTGCTCATCAATACTAGTAGACTATTCTTGTGCACCCGATGCATGGACGGTGTTCTCAGGGTCACTTACATTGTTATCATCGACACCGATGTCGATATTTTCTTCCTCATTCTCATTAGTTGTTTCATCCAGAGCAACTATCGCCAGCTCATCAGGATTCGTCGAAGCAGCTGTACTACTCTTGAAAAAATTATCAATAGATCCTCTTTGTGATTCTATCAATGCATCCACAGGTCTTTTCCTTTTCCTTTTGTCATTACCAGATTCGAACTTTCTAAATGACATTATATCCCACGATCCTGAAATTTAAATAAACACAAAATAGTTAAAAAGTGAAAGCGTATGTAACTTGAAACATACAAATAAATTAATCATACCTTTGGATGGATGTGGACTGATCCTTTCTGTCCTCTGCCAACTGCCGTGGTGTGGATCTTGCGTGATGATACATGAGGGCACGACGGATCAAGGATCACTGATGATTGACAGGATCATGGGATTGTCAGGTACTCAGATCGAATAGAAATATAGAATAGTCAGGGAGCCTAAGAAGTGTACAGTTGCTCGATTACCTCCTGAGTCCTCATGTGTTGCGTTGCTTCCGGCGGCCGCGGCGCGTGTTCGCTCCGTCTTCCGAGCGGAATAGGGCGACACCACACCAGAGTCGAGTCAAATACTACAGACCTGAGAGGCTGAGACCTGCGCTACTTCTATATGACTATATTTGGGCCATAGAAGCCCACATACGTATACATACCAGGACTAATGCACTATATGGGGTGAGGCCTATGGCAATCCGAGGCCTAGTGCGGTGGCACACCCTGCACACCCCCAGGGCCGGCCCTGCCTGAGTCCAAGACATGTAGCTGGGGTGTCCTTATCAGAGATTGTGATGGCGATTTGGTGCTGACAGGAAGAGGTAGAATTAATCACCTACTCAGTCCTTTCCATGCCGAACTCATAGCATGCCTGCAAGGGATCCAATTGGCAGCGAATTTGGGCATTGGTCGTATCATTGTTGAGACCGACGCCGTGGTGAAGGCTATCAAGTCCTGCTCCTATGATGGGTCAGCTGTAGGTCATTTGATTGATGAAATGAAGTCTTTATTGGCTTCAAATTTCCTTTCCTTTGAGTGTGTGTTTATTGGTAGAGAATGTAATAGGGCCGCTCATGAGTTGGCTGTGCTGGGTTATGTGTGTAATGAGGGTGAAGAGGTGATCACCAACTCTTTGCCTGAAAATGTATCTGTGATCGTTGTTAACGATTTGTTAGCCGGATGAGTAATGAAGAGACACCCATATTAAAAAAAAAAAGTAAATACTTGTCCAGAATTATCTTATTGTTGAACATGACTAAAGTTCTCTCAACGCTTGACTCCTGATAATTCTTGTTGGGCTACGTCTGCTTTCGGCCTAGAACAATTCTGATGTAAATCTGTACAAACCGACCAGTAACTAGTAATACACATTGCGAAAAAGGTAAGATTAACTGATAATAATCTTGACGGTCGACGGGTGATGGCGTCCTCAATAGAAATATATTGGAAAATTGCAATGGTCAAGCATTTTCAAGTAAGAAATCAACGTTGAGCGACGACCAGACATCACATGATCTTTTTATGAGCATGGATGTTGAAAGCAGATGTTTGAATTGTCTTTTGAGAGAAAGATGTTTGAATTGTTGTTTCAATCCAAGGTAATCATTGGTGACGAGAGAGAGAGAGGGAGAGCCAGAAACCCTGCTGTTGTTGCATTTGGGTCAAAAGAGCTCCAGGGAAAGTGTAGCTTCAGCTATAGATTTGGGGCTACCTGAGTTGGGGAAGGTTCTTAATCCATGCGGTTGCATTTGGGGCAGGCTAAGTTAGGGCGCAAGAAATTTGATTAAGAGGCAAAGGCGTCATCTGGACTTAACCGGAAGAGGCAGCCGCTAGTACAACTCTACAAGAGGCAACCAAACCAAACCTCCCTCGTTACCTCACTGCTGCCGTACATTGTGCAGCAGTGCAGTGCAGGCCGTTTCTCACACACTCCATCTGCATTTTTTTTTTCTTTCGGTGTCAGTATCAGGACATGAGAAACCAGAAAAGTCTCTGGTGGTCAAGGGGAGCTGCGTCTCCTTGGCGACTCAGAGGGCGAGTGCCGAACCTAGACCAGATCTAGCGTTTCGGAGGGGAGAATCCCCGTTTCCCAGCTCAATCTTCCTCCACAGACTTCCAATCTCAATCTTCGGTCATCTCTGGTCCCTTCCATTCCCCGGGTTTGGCCCTCCCTGGTCCTCCCGGGGGAAGGGGCACAGTGTTTTCTCCCTGGTGGCAGCAGGGGGTGCGCGCGGCGGCGAGTGGAGCTGCGGTGGTGGGTGGAGCTGCGTAGGTGGCAGGGGGTGCTACGGTGGTGGTGGAGGTTCCGGCGGCGAGGTTTCGGTGCTGGTGGGGGCTATGTCAGCGGTGACAGGTGCTGGGACGAGATGGGCAAACCAGGTGATGGCGGCGGTGGTGTGGGGCTGGAGGGCATGCTTAAGGACCTGAGGCTCTCCGAGGTGGAGAGAAGCATGGTCAGGAGAGCCGAGCAGAGGGAGGGAGGAAGGAGAGGGGGAGCAGGCCCCGCAAGAGGTGGGTAAACTCTTTGCGAGAAAAGCAGGTAATGCTAAAGGTCTGGCTCAAGCTCTGGGGAGGATTTGGTGCCCAGGTCAGGGGATTCACTACAAGGAGCTCGAG